CCTTTTCTCCATGCCTAGTACCTTCTACAGTTGAGCAATTTATCCTTAGCCCTCTAAGCTCCGAGCAGTGCGTCAAATGGCCTTAGCTCAAAATTCTATGGGATAAATACTCATCGAAATATTATTATGATTTTCAGCGGAGGTGGGATGCGCACCGCACCAACCGCAAATACTTCGCTAATTTTTATTTGTTTCTTCACCTTGTTTACCTATGCTCATTATGCTTTTTTCAGTCCTTTAAGCCAACTTACTTGTTCACGAGAATGATGTCAGGCTTCCAGAGTCGTTTATGTGGGATGTAGATGGTTTTAATGCCTCCCCATTCCGTATAATTCCAAACCAAACGCTTGTCCATCCAGTTGATGTTCAACCAACTTCTTGTCGTCAACACTTGGTTTCGCTCATCCTAAAAGAACACGGTCAAAAGAGTTATCAAATAAACGTCCCCAGGGGTTACTGCGATAGCCAAGCAACAACAAACAGGAAGCTCAAATTTACTCATTTTGGGCCACAATGATCCGCCAAGGCCGCCTTTTATAGAAAGAGGCTTAGTCTTGTGCAGAAGCTCTCGATTGATCCCTGGACCCCACGTTTTCTTCGCATATACTAGTTGGTCAAAAGCCACCCGGAGCGGCTTTTTGCGCTCATCAGCGAGTTACTCCAGTAAGTTTAGCAGCAGTGCAGTGTTCAGAGCCATGGGCGCAACGGCAACGCTGTTGCAGGGCTCAAACTTATGCTACCCCTCCGTTAGGAGGAAGGATGAAGCTCAAGCTTCGACCATACCCCCCCCCCTCTTCTTGGGTTGCGCCACTCACTCTGCTCCAATTCGGAATCGTGGTGGCATTTGATAGCGCTTCTGCCACTGAAATGGATCATGCGGCCATATGTACGAATCACTGTTGTTACCCTCCATACAAGTCTCATACCAACCAACCTACCACGGAGCGATCGAAGGCTCAATTGGCCTCAGCGGCGTATGGTTCCGGATTTAAACCCAGGACCGCACGCAGCGCCACTTCAGCCCTATGTTTAGCATATGTACGTCCTATTCTAACAGAGTCGGCCCGTGGGCATTAAATTTGCCAGAGAGCGTGAAGTGCTAAATCGTATATTTACCCTCACACATCTCATTATCGATTAATCATGTCCCCGATTCTTAAGGGAAGTAGAAGTCCGTGGCGCATTCTCGGCTTAAGAATTCCCTCCAAGTGCGTTATCGTCACTAATTTCGTTGCATTTACTAGTTTCAGGGTATAGGGCATCAAAAGTGCAATGAGAGGGCGAAACGAGTTCCTTCTGGGAGCATTTTTAATGTGAGGGACGTCTTAAAGCAACAGTTCAGGAACGGTTTCGCGGGAAAAAACCACCAATAATGAAGTTGTAGATGAAAACCAGACGATTAATGTATGAAAAACTGGAAAAAAACGTCGGGGAGGGTCTTAGACAGGTACTCTCCCTCTGCCGCTCAGCAATGGATAAAGACGCACGTTGGACGAGTTGTCTGAACGTGCCCGCTGTAAACGCGCTCCATTTTTCAATCAATTTTCCCTGTGGTCCCAAAACGAGCACGATTGCCGACGCGTCCAATGACGGCCGGCAAGGGGGCGGGATTGGGGAAATCCCCAAGAACACCCATGTTTGAGGGACTTTCCACCCTGTTTTTGAGTTTCTGAGGTAAGTTCGTTTATTATTTCCACTGCATATGTTCTTCACTAGGGCTCGTGTATCCCTCAGTAGTAGTGGCATTGAAATTTTCGGACCCTCCCTGAACTGTTGCTTTAAGGACGTAATTCAGGGGAACCTATACCATCAGATTAACAGCGTGAATCGAAAATGGGAACAAATACTTCAGCGGCGCTATCGCAATATGTGGGGCATCCTCTAGGACTAAGCCTAGCAGGAGCGGGAATCGGGAAAAAAAGCTGACGCACCGTGGAGTCAGTCCCCGGCCTGAAGCTTGACTCGTTATTTTTAACAGATAGACATGTTTTACTGCGATTTATAAATGCACTGCCTTGTATGTTGCGAATTGCTCCGCATGAGTCATTTTATTTTTGCAACCCCGTCTCGTTTTGCCTACATTTTCCGCCACACCAGCCTCAGGAAATAACGTTACCCTTCCATGCTTCAAGCAGTCATCTGCACGTCTTTCGCCTTATGTTCGAAGAAAATTCATGGGATCGAAGACGTGAAAAGCTGTCACAGCCAAACAATTGTCAAGGCTTCAATTGAAGTTCGCCTTGCGTGATTCCTTTTTTTGAAGACACTTTGAGAATCTCGCGAAAAAGCTTACCATTTCCACAATTTGATTGAGAAGAAAGCCAAAAGTAACATTTGTAGGCTTGTGAATGATGTGCAGTAGGTCGTACATCCTTTTCGTATCGTTCTTCTGACAACAAAGTCCTATACAAACGCTCTTCAGTGCCATCCGCAAAGCTTTCTGAAAGGCATAGATAGTACATACAGCTACTTTCTGCTTCAGAAAACCAGAAGAGCGTCGGGTGCAGAACACACACCACAAGTGACGACGGTCTAGAATTTTGTAACTAGTGAATCATAGTGATAGTTGATAAATGGTAAAATGATGGTTGTAATTAGTGACAACTGAAAGAATACAACTGCAGGGCCTAATCATTTCATTGGCAGAAAACATTTACATTTTGTAGAGGCTGTCGTCACTTGTGGTGTGTGGTCTGCACTGGACGCTTTTCTGCTTTTTGAAGCAGAGTGTTCCCATGCACTAATGCTCTAATGTTCGCAACTGAAGGGCACGATTAGGTTTGTGAAGCCTAGTGAGCTCCTACTGATGGCGACCATCAGGAATTAAGCCAAAATAAAATAAAAGGAAATAAATAAAATAGTTAACAACTGAATTCTGAAAAACAAACATGAAAAACTGAAGAAGCTCTCGAGAAGGAGGAAGCGAAGGCAGAAATGGGTGTTAGTTTATGAATTCGAGGCTCACTGGAAAGATTAAACTTCCTAAAAGAAACCTTCGCAGAAGAGCACCGCTGCGCTTTAGTTACGAGAATCTAGACCTTATTCTGTAGTCCCAGAGACAAAAATGGCGCTTTCACGATAGCGGCAAGGGCTGTTGGGGTTCAAGTTAGAGCTGTAGATGTTCCATGGTCTGACAGCAAAAATGCAAAAGGTTTGGAGGCTTCAGAAATTAGACCTGCCTTCATATTGCAGATGAAATTGAGCATTGCCATCAAAATTTCAGAAGGGAAGAAAAAAACTTTATTGCTCATTTATTCCGTCAGAGACAGTGCACTTGGACGAGAGATTTTGACGACAAAGAGGCGAAATAGTATTGAGCCAAAAGACACGCAGACAATTACGTGAACAAGCATCAACAAAATGCGACCATTATTCTTATAATCTATATTTCTTCAACGTTTATTTTATTACTGGGAGCCCATCATTGAGATCTTAGCACGATTCCTCAACTTTTCATGTTCTGAAAAGCGCCTGGGTTCCCTCACCCCTATCCGGGCCAGCTTTTACACGAACTGCACGAAAAAATTTACTTTACACGATAAAAGTCTTCTGTGCAAAGCCTTCTCTACCCTGGATGTTTCTGCACAACTTTAGCCCTTTTTCACAATTTCGCTCCAGAAAATATCCCAGGGTAACGTGACCTAACCCTGGCCTGGCCGTGACGTCACAGTGGTGAACCTGCGCTCTCCAATGAAGTGAAGTTGTGTGGAAAAAGTAAAAC